TGCTCTGTTTGCGCTAGTAAGATACCTAGTATGAGGCTAGTAACAATACTAGTTAATAACAAGTGGGGATATTGATTGATAAGACTAATCAGATCTGATAGCTCCAAGTCCACGAAATTGTCCGACTAAGGTATCCGGAAGAGTTTAGTTTTTTATTTAGTCCAAGGAGCTATGGATAGAATACGTAGGCGTAACAGATTTAATCGTTTCTCTGAGCCATGGGAGATGCATATTCCCCGACCAATAGCAATTTTTTTGGTGAGGGTACCAGCTTGCTGGTGCAAGTAGCTGCAAGCGAGTTCTGCAAGACTTTTTTCTTTTCTCCTGCCAATATGTTGTTGGGAACAGGGCTGGGCTGGCGTTTGGGCCCTTGCCACCATACAGTAGTCTAGTCCATAGTCCGAGTCGTATGATAATCGCGCAGTCTAGCCTGAACCAGAGTTACCACCGACGAGTATCTAATCTAATCTGATTGTTCTGTTGATGGAGGAAATTCTGCTGGAACCTGAAACCTGAGCTGAGTTTTGGGCTCTGAAACGAATCGAACCTAAACCGTATTCAGAGAGTCCATTCATCTTGCACGTGGCTTTCGTGGGATTACTCGGAGTGGTCTTGCATGCAACAAGGTTCGAATTTAGTATGCAGGGTAGCTGGAGTGTAGCTGTAGCTGGTGGATGGAGTACTGTAACACAGCAGCAGCGCTGGCTGAAATGATTGACATTCTGCATTCCTCATTGAACACATATATTAATATCATTCCAGCCTATTTATGGATCATTCGGCGCGCACTTAAGGATAGCCACCGTGTTGATGACTGCCTCCTGCATAGCGAATCTGCAAAATCAGCTTGTCATTCCTACGTACATCTAGTCCCCCTCTTTTGCCTCTATCTTTCCTCCCGCTAAATTCTACTACTATCCGGCGGCAGCTGGGCCAAGAATACGGCAAGTGCATTAGGGTTACACCGTGTACCATCTAATGCATGTATTGAAATGAGTTGTAATCCACATTGTCAATTCAGTACCCAATTGTCACCACTTTACCGTATACACTCACCCACACCAAAACAACCGTGTCTCACTCAAGTTATCTGATTGACTCCACCAGCATCCGCACCATCCCAAAACCCCCTGCCTACAAAAGCAATAATAAAAAGAATAAAGAAAATGAAGTCAAGCTAGGAGATTCCATGACTCATTTTTATTTCATCCGAGCAAATTCTTACCTCTTACCCAAGGACAGCAGCTGGTCCTCGCTAAGAAACCTGATCTTGCCAAGCAACTTATCTCGGATCAGATAACTTTTGTTTCCAGTCACATGGTACCCAGCCTCGGACCAGTGGATTTTACATAGCGCTTACGGTGGGCGTTTCGGAAGCGGCCATCGGGCATATGTGTCTTAAGTCATTTCACTGGTCCGAAGATCGCACCCTGAGGAAAACCGAAGTGGGCCTGTAATTGGAGGCTTATATCTTTTTACTGGTCATGTGCCTCCTTTCTAGACTAGATACATTATAGTGATGGGTTCAACAACCGCAAGGGGTGATACCAAAAAGCAAAGGAATTTGTATACAAAAAGGCCATTGTTGATGATTTACAATATGATACAGGCCTAGAAGTAATATATTTGCAAGAGGTTTTGTATAGGTAATTTCGTGGAATGAAGTCCGCGACTGGTCTTGTGCAGATGCTCTATCCCAGAAAACCTTGGCAATTGGGAGACGCTGCCGCTACGCTAGCCAGGCGTTCTCCACACTACTAGTGTTGCAACTGAGTTATCCTGCATCAGAAAGGGTCTTTGATGTTTCGCGCCAAACGCGGTCCCTAGTGTTGTCGAGATGGTTGATCGGATGGTGCAAAAGTCCTGACTGACGGTGGCCGTCGGGGCCATTTCAGTGTTTTGCTTACAGCCGTGCTTGTTTGCTACCATGTACTTAAGGCTTCGAAGCCCGGAAGTACTCACAATTCGCAGTCGCCTTGTGAAAGAGGCGTGCCGTATGAGCCCTTCGGAGGTCGAAAAGGGAGATGTCGGGGTTTCCTTGTACTCTTTGTTTCACTGATACAGTGGCTGCAGCACTCATCCCTCCACAGGTCCCACCCTCACCTGTTCGCGTCTCCGGAGTTCGGCCAACTCCTGTGCTTTCTCATCGGCGGCCCGTCGTTTTTTCTGCCTGCTCGCGAACCGCTTCTTTCCACCAAACTTCAGCTTCGTAATCAGGTCTGCGGCCTGGCCTCGGGTCAAATCGCCAGGCGCAATCCGTCCGTTCCGAATCTTAGCTTTATTCAGCATTGTTACCTGTGCTGCAGTGGCCGGATGCTGACGCCAGGGCTGCCGGGTGGAGATGTACCGTTCGTCAAACTCAGAGGCTGCGAAGGTATCAGCGGCACGAACTGTGGATTCAAAGTCCATGGCAGTAGCGATCAAACGTGGTCGAGTGTACTGGGTCGATTCGGTAGCAGACTTGAACTTCATCACATGGTGAACGGTGTATGTAGCTGGCGGATCACCTTTTTGTCCCTTGTTAGATGTGTTCTTAGTCTTCTCAAGGGTTATCCATCCTGTTGAGTCAGACAGTGTGTATTTATCATCATCTACGCGGACCCAGGCGTAGCGGCTGAGGGAGCGGATGTGTTTCTCAGACTTCATATCATGAATGAGGTCGTAGATGGTATCGTACTTGGTGAAGGTGAGTTTGACGTCATCGGTGGTGTCGGGTTCCTCGGCAGGTGTTGTCTCTGGCGGATAATCGGTGCGTTCTTCGGCACCCGTTGCGGCATCCTTTTTCTCTCTCAGGTCCTTTGCTTTCGCGCTTTCTAGAAGCTCGTCTGGGTGTAGTCCAAAGAGTGTAGGGGTAGAAAGGACACCAGTGTCCAGGGTAGCCACCATGTCGATTATGTGACAGTCTTTCTTCCCAGGGTGCAGTCGTAAGCCTCGTCCGATCATCTGTATGAGAAGATTCCGAGACCGTGTCGGACGCGCCAGCAGGACGCAGTCAATGTTGGGAATATCTGTACCCTCTGTGAATAAGCCACAATTGAGAAGCACGGGATACTCCTGATTCCTGAAAGCACGCAGCTGCTCATCGCGCACGTCTCTCGGGGTCCCCGCCGTGATATACCGAGCATCAAAGCCCAGTGCGCGGAACGCTTCAGTAAGCTGTCTGGTGTGTTCAACGTCGACACAAAATACCAGTGTAGACTTCCGATCATGTGCGTTAGCGAGCCATGCACGTACAGTGATGTCATTGGTTTTCGTGGTATTGACGGCTTCAGAGAGCGAGCTGATAGCAAAATCACCAAATTTGTCCTTCCTAACGCGTGAAAGATTTGCTTCTGACCGAACAGTGGTAAAGATGGCATTAGACAACCATTTTTCGTCGATCATATCCATGTAATCCTTATGGTATACTATGTGGTCGATTGCGGCACCCAGTTTGAGTCCATCGAAGCGCGAGAACGTGGCAGAGACTCCGACGAGAGCCGGCGAGTCTGGCGAAGGGTTATTGAGGCCGAAATGTTCGAGTGCAACCCGGTACGTTGGTGCAACGATATGGTGTGCCTCATCCACCAAGACAAGCTTGAAACGTCTAGGATCAAATTTACTGATCCTATCCTTGGAGGTGAGACTCCGTATGGAAGCAATGATGATATCCCCAGAACCAGAGGCGACACTATTACCCATCTCAATCTCTACAACTCGATTGGGGTAGGCAAGACGGCAGTGTCGGGCAGCTTGCTCGACTAGCTCTCTTCGGTGAACCAGGATAAGGGTCTTGTCATGGACACCATTCCGCGGCGGTATTCGTCCGATTAATTGGGTGAAGATGACCGTCTTCCCCGCGCCTGTGGCAAGCGAGACACCTAGACGTTTGTGGCCCTGAGCCAGATGTTCCAGCACTGACTGGATGCATTCTTCTTGGTAGTCGCGGAGAACGATCAGCGGGGGTTCTGCTGGGGCTGTAATTGGTGAGGGAAGGCCGTCGGATGTTACTCTAGAGCGGAAGCGCAGGTGCGGATAATGGATCGACGTAAGGGACCACTGCGGACCTCTAAAAGCCCTCAGGACGCTGGAAACGGGAAATCTCCCCAGTTTCTGGCGAAGGCAATCCATTCAGATGCCATGAAGCAATAGCAGTTCGTGGGAGCCGTGCGAGTGACTTCAGGCTGGATGCAAGTATGGTGATGGGAAGCTGTTCGGCATCGGAAAGCCATTGTTCCGAAGAAGCTTGAGATGAGGCTCTCTCTCGCGCAATCATGTGACTGTAGCTTTTACGTTATTTTCCCGAACAAGAAGACCCACAGGCCACCCAGTAATACTAAAGTAATTCTTTGAAAGGTCCACCGTATTGTGTACGGAGTATATAAAGTGCCTATTTATGTATGACTGATGAACAAAAGCGCCCATTAATTCCCTACTTCTTAACTCCGTAGCTCTAACTATTTTTTTTTTCTCTGATTGCTTCGCCGCCCTCATTTCCTACGGCAGAATTCGGGAGTGGAATCACTAGGCGGTGAGAAACACTGCGATGAGTCAGCGGGGAGCAAGCGGGACGACAATTTCTCATCTGCGTTCAACCCATTCCGGACTCGAGAATACTCAGCGGTCCTTGAAGTGCTCTCACCCAGCACTTGCTTGCACGCCAGCCCAAGTGCCTTAACGAACTAATTATATTCCCACCCCCTCTTAGAATACCCTAAATTCGGTCAGTGCTTCTACTCCTGCCCTGTTTTGCCCCCCGATTCCCTTTTTGGTAATTCTCCTGCTTTCCACCAATCTCCCTCTATTCAACTCTCGCCTCAGGCGGGATCGACGCCTCACACTTCATACCTCATACTCCCCCATATACGGCTATCCGGGGTGAAACTATCCTGTCCCTTCACTTTACTGTCTTTACTATCCACCACCCTCACGATCATTGTTGCCATGATGGACTGTGCTGGTAACCCAACTAACACTAACATGCAGTCTCGTGACTGGTGCATCCGGCACACGGTATCATCATGCCTGCCGTACACGGGGACTTGATGACCACGGTCGTCCCCACGGAGAAGGAGTTGCCCCTTGACATTGTGCCGCGGCAGGTCATACTCAGGGACCGAGTCACGGTCGCCACGCTGGTCCCCTTCACTTCAGCGGATGCGATCCCCCGATCTCTATTAGCTTACCTATCCGATCAGTTGAACAAGGAGATTGAAGGTGGTGATACCTATGCCATGATTGATCCCATCCCCTTGGAGCAGTTTGGGCCGTATTGGTTCTCCAATTTCGGCGCGATCATGCTCATGGGGGACATCAAGAGTGTGCAAGAGGTTCAAGCACTAGGTCGGAACCGCGCCAATTGGTCCAAGATCTGCTTGGGCAGCTTCAATATACGTCCCAATTATCCCGGTCGTAGTAGTCACGTCTGCAATGGCATGTTTCTGGTCACCGACGCCGCCCGAAACAAAGGTGTAGGTCGACTGATGGGGGAAGGGTATCTCGAATGGGCTCCTAAGATGGTTAGTATACCAAATATCAGTAATCTTGACTCAAACCACTATTCCTGTTGCCTATCATAACTACTTAGTACTCCCCTTAGCCACTTCTTACCCTACCTCATCGTTACGGTCTTTGACCTAGTAGACATCCGGCTAACGTTCAACAGGGGTACACATATGCGGTCTTTAACCTGGTCTATGAGAGTAACGTGGCATCTTGCCGCCTGTGGGATGCTCTGGGGTTCAAGCGGATTGGCAGGGTCCCCGGGGGTGGTCGGCTCATTTCCAATCCCGGGCAGTATGTAGATGCTATCATCTACGGCCGGGATCTAGGCCCGGAAGGGGAAGATTCTGTCACACAAGATCGGTTTGACAAGATCCGATACTATCTCAAGCATTCCAAATATCCTAGGGGGGCTGACCGGGCCGAGAAAAGTCGGCTTCGGAGTGCAGCTACCCACTACAAGTTGATCGGAGGCAAAGATGGGGACGGTGAGAAATTGATGCTGAAAGACAAGGAGGTTGTGTCCGACCCGCAGCAGCAGTACGATATTGCCCGGGAGATGCATATGCAGCAGCATGCGGGTATCAACAAGACCACAGCTGCCATTGCGGTCAAATACCATTGGGTGCGGATCAAAGAAACGGTCAGTCGGGTGATCCGGGACTGTCCACAGTGTAAAGAGATCCTCAAGCCGCCTTTAATTAATGGAATTATGCACGAGGGTACCCCCGAAGATGATGAGGATGATCTGGGACTCGATGAGGCTGACTTGGCGGAGAATGATGTTGACATGGCATCCAGCGATCCTATGGGTACGCATGCGCTGATGGACCACGCCACCATGGATGCTCACAATACGAACCCATTTGTGACCGCCCATTCGGTAGTGCAAGGATCAGTGGATTCCATCACCGATTACACGGGCTTGCCGCTCGACCCACAAATCATCGACATACATCAGCAGCTCCCTCGATTTCATCCTCATGATACTATGACCGATCCTTACACCCACGCTGCACATAGTTTACATGCCTCAAGCTTCGACAATGATGTCCGTCATCATGCGGCCCATGACTATCATATGATGGTTGATCATCCCACCGACCCTGATCCGTCCGCGGCGCTTCATCAAGAAGTATTAGGGCTGGTACATTCTCAGGCACACGACGTCCATCACGAGCAGATTCTGGCGAAGTATCAGTACGTGGATCAGCCAGATGATGGCCTGGATTTCACATGACACACATCCCTGTCTCTTTTACTTATACCTTATTCTTCGTCACCATCTCTCTTTCACATCTTTCCTCGGGTCCTTTCCTTGCTGGACCTACTCTCGGCAGTACTAAGTTAGGGTTTTATGCATATTTCTCGGCGTTGGTTAAGGTTGGAAGGAGTTGGTCTGTTATGGAATGCTGAGCCATTATATTAGACATGAACTGAATGTCAGTGTTTACGGAGCGCGATATAACCAAAGATGAATGTATCATATATTAATCAATTACACTGATGACGCCATGCCATGAACACGCTTCCCTTGTTCTTAGTAGAATATCGCTACGCACCAATTCATGTTCTTGCACCTACAAGATATAATTTCAAGCTGGTGTTCGCTTTTTTTCATCACATATCAGTCACCGAAGGCTTATGAACCGAAGCTGTTGCGCTGAAACACCGTACGGTCAAGTGTCCAGTATCACAATACATGATACCAATGACGGAGTCGGATTTGGAGATAGTCAGATCAATGATACACTAATATACAATGCCTTTATACATATGGTAGGACAGGCAACTATAACTACATAGAACGAGAAACCGCATAAACCCAGCCCATATCATCAACGCCGCCTATATCATGCAAGCCCGCTAAAGAAAAAGGCCGTCAACAGGCCCTGCGAAATGGTTTCAATTTCCAAAAACCCCGATTATTTCCCCTCCTTTGTTTCCTTTTCATCTCCCTTTTGGCCCCAGTTCCATACATCCCATATATGCTCCTTGATCAAGTCACCATATCCCTTGCCCTCCTCCAAGGCCTTCTGTTCCTCTCTGATTCTTCTCTCCTTCCACCCCTCCGTCTCACCACCCATCCAGATTTTCTCCAAGGCCGGCTTCTCCTGTGCTTGCCTAGCCTTCAGCCTCTCCAATTCCTCGCCGACTGCTGACCCCTCTCGGATCTGTGCATCCCTCGCTGCCTTCAACTTGGCCTGTATCTCCTGCGCCCGTTGGCTTGGCAGATCCGACAATGCTGTAATAGGGTTCCTTGAGATCCGGGCCTCAATCCGGTCCACGATACTCCGCCCGGTATGTTCGCGTGTGAGATGATTTGCCGAAACACAGAAGGCGCTAGTGAGAAGAACCGTCAGGTTATCGAGCTTTCGAGGTGGTAGGGCAATGAGAACAGGCGATGCAATGAGGAAGGTGTATGCGGCCGCGGCTTTGAACCGCTCGTAGTCGGCTTCTCGGCGTGACTGGAGATCGTCCGTAGATTGTGGTGTGGTCATTTTGTTGATGGCGGATTGTTCCTTTCAGCCTTGGGGGTATTGCGTAATGGTAGTTATTACGGTAGGAGTCAACAGACTCAAGTAGAGCTTTGGGGCGTATTTGCGACTGGAATTGTAGTGGTCGTAGATCGTTTATCGCATCTTCTTCGAAGGAAATTTACGGCAGGTGATCCAGACCGTTGGCGCAGTCAGGTGACACCCTTTCTTCAGCTGTCAATCATATGAAAGTCTCACGTGACACGGTCTGGCAAGCATATCGTCCAGCCATCGTTACTAAGAATTCCTGGAACAATCGTTATCAATATAGGGGCGTCTTTTATTTTTGCTTTCTCTATTGAGTCTGAGGCCATGTGCGATGTGATAGTCAGAAATAAACATAGTAGTATTATTCATATGTAAACAACATAGACGCCTCTGGCAGAAAGTGGATCCTTGATCAACCAGCCAAACAGTACAATATCCACCGCATTCTTGACCTCCTTGCATATCCAGCAGGTGCAAGCCCAATATGCCCTCCCCCTCATCGATTTCGCTGTCCACATCTCTTTTAACCGCAGGATACCTCGCCTTCCGCGGTCTCACACCCCCAAACCTTCCTTCCAGCTCCAAAGGTAATGGGCCACCAGACCGCGTTCGTCTGCTTACCGGCTCGATCACCACCATCATACTACATCTCAATACGGCCTGCATCATCTACCATGCTCTTCTTGCGCTGTTCTATATAGATCGCAGTAACAACAATGCTAAGGAGCTGACCAAATCTGGCGATGGAGTGTACCTCCAAGCAATCTGTCCCCACCGGACCAGCCTCGCGCCGCATCTCTTCACCTGGACTATCACATCCACACTCTGCCTCGTTTCCATCATCGTGGGCGCTTTGCTTCGGCTCTCTGCATTCAAGTCTCTAGGCCGGAACTTTACCTTTCAGCTGGCGCAACCAAATACCCTAGTCACTGGGGGTTTGTACAGATTGGTACAGCATCCCAGTTACACAGGGATGTTGTTCGTCGCAGCAGGATACCTGGGATTGGTGATGCGATGGGACGGTTCAGTGGCCTGTGCTATGGATGATGCGGTGCTTGAGCGACTATCCGGATGGGGAGGATGGGTGGTGGGTGTGATGGTAACAGTGTTTATCTATACAATGGTGATGCGCGTGCAAGACGAAGAGGGGATGTTGCGGGACCAGTTCGGGCGGGATTGGGAGGAATGGCATGTGCGGACGGCGCGATTCATCCCATATTTAATATAGTAGATACTGTATGACATATATATATATATATATATATATATAAATTGAAGTCAAAAGATGTGAATACTATATAATTCCCTGGCCTTAATGCGATAACCAGCCACCGGAACAACTCCGATCCTCCGACTCCGCATCTCCGCCAGTCCCGATGATCTCACCTCTTCATCCTCCGGCTCGAGCTCAGCTCTCCTCTCTTTCCCTTCTCTACCTTCAACCCACTCACCCCCTCTCCCCAACAACCATTCAATTGCGGCTCCCGACTACACCATGGGTATTCTCAAACGCGCCGCCAAGATCACCACCATTGGTGCTGGCCTCGGCACGGCGTTCTTCTTCGCAGCCGTCCGTCACAACACCTTCGTGCCGATGCCCACAACCGACCCTCTCTTCCAGCACCCGCTGTACCAGAAACTCAATCCCAACAACAACCCCACAACCCATGACCTCTGTGTGCGTCGCGTACCACTCAAGGACATCAAGCCCGCCTTGCTGGAAAAGCCAGGCCGACTGACCGAGGCGTTTTGCGCCGGAGTGTGGAGCGGATTCGGTGCGTCACATACACCCACCCAGCCCATTATCAGCATAATAAATTGGACAAACTATCTAATACCTTAATCAATTGAATTCAACAAACAGGATACGCCTATCAACGCCGCTACCTCTCCAAGAAATACGAAGGCCCCGAAACCGCTTCTCACCTCTGGACGCGCGCGGACCTACGCGCCGCGACATACGACGTGGGCACACTGATCACAGATCACTTCGAGGTGGTAGAAAAGACGCCGGAGCGGATTGTCGTGCGGTGCGGAGATTCGCCCCGCAAGAAGGACGTGCGGGAATCGGATGGATTGTTTGAAATTTCGACCGAGGTCAAGCCCCAAGAGGGAGTTGCGGAGTTCCGCCTCAAGAGTCTGTTTTTCCAAGGCAAGGGGAAGGCGGAGAGTGAGCCGATGCCCTCGCATGTGGTTTGGTTGCACCAGCAGTATACGAAATTGTGGTTGGAGACGGCGTTGGGAAATATTTGGCGGTAATTCGTACTTGAGGGATGGAGATATCTGTAGTGTGGGATGGGCATCTAATAGATCAGTTGCCGCATATATTAATTTGATGGAGACTCGTACCACGAGCTATCTACTTACCTGTCACGTCCAGACTACGGCAGCCTAACAACCCAAGTAGTGCATACTGAACAAGAACGTAAATTACTATGCAGCAACAACAATACTAAGAGCAAGAGCCACAGGAGCCACCACAGCTCCAACCAAACCTAAACTTGATCGATATACTTTGCCACGAGATTAAGCATCAAGCCTAGGAGGCACCACCGCTATGAAATATACATTGACCAAGGACATTACCCTTGATAAGTATACGTACGAACTAATGCAACCCCGCCTTCCGTTCCCCAAAGATATGGTACCAACGCCAAAGTGAAGAGAAGCAAGAAATATAAAATAGAAAGTATTACCAAGAAAGTCCATTCTTGCGGAAGTCACCGAGCAGACTGGTATGCCTTGATGAAGAACATGTTCCATTGCTCAGAGGTAACTACTAGAAGCAAATTGTGAACCATAGGATTGTTTGTTGCAATGTATATGTTGAACGGATTTGACTACAGTAGTAGACGGATACTCTGCATGTAGCAGTACGGTGAGACCGTTCTCACCTGCGGATTTCTCGGAAAGTGTATCGGCTGATATATCCTGGTGGGAGGTCAAATATGTAATAGAAGGTGATAGTTTCGATGGACCATGTTGAGATCAAGCATAATATATGATCCAGAGGCCACGGTAGCGGATAGTATCTTGCCCATTGCTAGAGATGATAGGATATCTTCTATTTCGAGTGGTTGTTGAGACCACGAAGGGTTGCTTGTTCTTACAGGATCTTTCTATTATGTCAACTACACAGATATACATCGAAGAAAATAGTATAATATAAGGTTATTAATTAGTAGAGTATAACTTTTATACTAATGCAATACAATGTAGCGGGGATATAATCAAGCAGAGGTCTATGCACCAGCAGGCACACAGGGGGTATGTATGTAAAGGGGGGAATATGGGTATGATATGGGCGAGGAAAGAAAAACGACGAAAGTGGGCGGTGGATGATGCACCAACTTCCACATATAAACCGTTTCCTTAATCAACAACAGAAAAAAGACAAGGTAGTAATGGTGCAATCAGGATGAGAGGTTCTATTCAAACCGATGTATGTATGTATGTAATATGGTAATGTACACGCAAACCATCGACAGTCTAGAAGACCATACCCGAGACCTGTTTGACCTTGGCAACATTAATGTTCTTGATCATGACGATCCAGATAAAGGAGAGAGCCATGAGACCCGTTCCAACCGCCAACATGCGCGTCTGGGCATATCCATAGGCATGCTGGATAGCAATGCGGGTGACACTACCAGTGGGGTAACTCAGCTGAGTATCCAGATCCTCGTAGATGTTCTCGAGGTTGGACATGGCTGATTCAGGCAGGTAGCGAATGAGCGCCTTCTCGAAGGTGTTATCCCAGATAGCGCCGGAGATGGTGGCACCGATAGCGTCACCGATAGTACCGACGACGTTGAGGAGCGCCAGGGCGGCAGCGACGTGCTGGTGGTCGACGGCGGCCAGGATAGCAAGCTGCTCGATAATGATGAAGATACTGCCTCCGATGGAGATGAAGATCTGGCACATGACGAGGTAGCCGACGGATTGGTTGGGACGACGGAAGTAGATCATCAGACCCTGAGCGAAGATATACAAGGGCACGGAGATGTAGAGGAGCCACTTGAAGCGGCCGGTCTTGCTGATCAACCAACCGACAAAGAGGAGCAGAACACCGGAGACGACGTCGAACGTGTCACTGACGTAACCGGCTTCGGCAACGCTCAGGTCGTTGACAACTTGCAGGAAAGAGGTGAAGTAGTTGTCCCAGCAGTAGTAGGAGAGCTGGTAGGTGGCGTCGAGCAGACAAGCACCGATAACGGTACGGTTGAAGAGGAAGCCGAACTTGAAAAGAGGCACGGGCGCAACGAGCCATTCGTAGAGGCAGAAGAGAACCAGCATCACGACACCGACGACGATCATCGCGATAATGTAGCCCGAGGCCCAGCCGTCGGGAGCGTAGGAGGAGATATCGAAGGGAAGGAAGAAGACGCAGAGACCGGTAGAGAAGAGAAGGACACCAACAACTGGAAAAGGTTAGTTAGGTTGAGACGAGACTCTGGAGGTATGGGGAGATAATTGCGTACTGTCAAACTCGATGAAGTAGAACCAGACAAGCTGGTACCAGGTGCGGCCGTCGCGGTTGACGGCGACCAAACCCTGCTGCTGCGCGCGCTTTAGGTTGTGCTTCAAAATGAAGTACAACGGGGCAGCGACGACTGGGAAAATGATGGCGAACATGCCGAAGCCCCAGCGCCAGCTAAGGTGGAAGTCATCCGAAGCCTTAGGACCAGCAAAGGCCGTGATGATATAAGGGGAAGAGGTGAAGGCGTAAGCCAGACCTCGGTTCTTCAGCTTGGAGGCATCAGCAGTGATGACATCCACGCAGTAGGTCATGCCACCGAAGCCAATTGTGTAGAACACCTGGAAAATGGACTGGTTAGCACGAGAAATTTTTCACTTGATTAGCCGTAAAGGAAATCTTACATAGGCAGCACAAAAGGTGGGAAGGTTGTGGCAGGTGGCCATCAAAATCAGTCCCAGAGTAGCAAAGACAGCCATGGTCGCGAAACCTTCAGCACGACCAGTCACGTCCATGATTTTCGCCAGAGGGATGTACACGGCGGCCGACATGCAGTCGGCAACCACATAGATGACGTTCAGGAGGGAGTGGGACTCCCAGGAACTGGTGACATAGGGGAGCAGGTTGTAAAGAATAGAGGACTGGAAAGCATTCACAAAGTACAAGAGCCAGATGCTAATCGAGAAAAAGCAAATAAAGTTAGCGAGGATACAATGGAAGAACAGATACCAAGAGAGACCACATACTTGGCAAAAACGGCGATCAGGGACCATTTGGACCAAGACTTGGTGATAGCCTCGACATCGTTAACACCAATCTGGAGGTGCGCTGAAGAGGCATCCTCGGAGACAGTTTCCTCAGAGTCTTCAGGACCACGGACTGCCTCATCAGCAATGGGATCATGCTTGGTTTCCTCGACGGTGTTCATGGTAACATTGTTGCCGGATTCTTCGGTAATAGAAGGGCTACGGCCAAAGGCCTCACGAAACTTTTCGAGCACGGCCATAGTGATAGACCGACCTATCGAGAGGGCAGAAGAGATGATCGAGCGGGTAAAGCCAAGGAGGACAAGACAAGGACAAGAAATCTGGGATTTCTTGGCCCTTATACCCAGGCGAACCCAGCTAGCTACGAGTGGCGGAGGACTAGTGTTGACAGGCCCACGCACAGATTGATAACCCCGAAGTCGGCTGCGGCGGCCGCAGCGGCCGCATCTGAAATCTTGAATCGAAGGGTGACTAGGTTCGAGCGCAACTGGAGACCACTGGATCCCTGGAGACGAGCCAATCTAATCAGATGATGGCGCTGTCCTGCGCATTCCCCTATCTGATCGAACCAATGGCGGTCGTAGGCTGGTGATGATGCCCTACAAGGTCTACGTAACTATTCTAGCACAGGTGCAGAGATTGTTAGCGCCAACAGTTAGTCTGGCGATGGTGTGTAGTCTAACTAGCTGATTCGCAGCGTGTGCTTGTCCGGAAGACACGATGTGAGGCACGATAAAAATCCGTGATCTCCACCCGGAGATGAGGAGTGGGCACTGTATGACTGGCATGTTTTCCTGCGATCCACTCAAGGCACCAGTAATCTCTGCGTCTTTTTACCTGATCGATAGCTCCAAGGTCTCTAGACTAGACAGAGTCAAGGAGTGGGAGGCATCCACATCCGGGTCGAGCTGAGTCGTCTGATGATGCTGGATCGGGTCAACATCCCAATTCGGTGCCCACTCGCGGTATGGATACTAAGAGAATACTTGTATGAAACGTACGGTACTGCTTACTGTATGGTCACAGCGGTCACCGGGAAAATGTTAACTAACGGACCCACTCTCATCACACAATCCAATTTCCCCTGGCGGCCACCGGAAAAACGAGCCTGGAGACCGTGGACGAAATACGGCTAGTCCGTGACTAAATCTAATCTGATCCATGATAAGATGCGAATGCCATCAACACCCGTTGTTGAGGGGTTTTCACTTTTCTCACAAGTCCAGTGGGTACTAAATTAAGCGATGGGGTACATTAGACTATTATTCCATGGTTCTTGTCTCCAAGTAGGTCGAAGGAATTTCCTCGCGAGTAATTCGAGGCCAGGACACGGCTGGAAAATTCTGCAGCATGAGTGGCTCCATCGGGTTCTTCCGCCGAATAATGAGCGAGCTACAAGAACAACGCCAGATGATCCGGACGCCCCTTGCCGAACAGGCACACAACGCCGGATGGCTATCTGATTGCGGAGTAATCCGCAGACCGTACGTGAAAGCCCCCTCTTCGGTCTCACAACTTGGAGTTGATCCATTGTGGCGACCGTTTCTCTACAAACGCTCGAATACCTTCGGCAAAATTAGCTCCCTCCACCAGGCGCGGGTACGAGTGTTCCGCCAGCGTCGACACCGCATCCTCCACGCTACCGGCCTCCCAACTCAACCGGATACCCTCTCGACCAACAATGAGCGCGTCTGGACTGTTATTGCACATGACGCGGGCGATTTGAAGAGCTGCCTGTGCAACATCGTCACCAATATCCACCAACCGAGTCACCAGCCCCCAATCGTAGAGAGTCCTTGCGTCCACGCTGCGGCCAGTCAAGGCAAGGTCCATCGTGCGCTGCAACCCCAATGTCCGGGTCAGGCGTGGCAGGCAGCCGGCCACAGGCACAATTCCTCGCTTGACTTCCGGCAGCGCAAAAATGGCAGACACCGAGGCGATTACAATGTCGCAATTTGCTACCATTTCAAACCCGCCACCCATGCAAATACCATTGACCGCTGCGATGATGGGTTTCTTGCCGCTTCGTCGGGGCAGGCCTGCTAGTCCGGGCGGGGACATGTCGTTGACAACTCCAGCTTCGTTCATAGCATTCCACTCTATCCAATTCAGAAGGTAAGCAATCATGTCAGAGCACAGAAGTCTGTGAGAGCATAGGAAATAAAAATACCTTGTAAATCTGCGCCAGTGCAAAAGGCTCTCCCGGTACCAGTAATGATACCCACCCACAAGCTCTCATCCTGGTCGAACAGCTCCCAGACTTTTTGGATCTCTCGACTTGTACCCAGATCAAGAGAATTGAGCTTTTTGGGGCGATTTAAGGTCACCTGGACCACACGCTCGTGGGGAAACGAGACATGGAAATTTGGATGCTGTATGGAATGCGATCGGAGTGACATGGTCGAGGGTGTGAATGATTGATAGGCTTATCTGATTGCGGGACAGCCGGACCAGCTCGCGCTACTTTTATACTTTTGTAAAGGACTATGCTGGGGTCCAGAAGGCGGCATAATATGCGATATCGGTGGGCCCAAGACCGTGCCAAAGGGGGGTCGAGAGCAACCAAGGACGGGCCATTGGCGGACACCCACCTGAGACACCTTCCAAGCTCGTTATCTGTCTTCCTCGGTTGTTCTGTCTAAATTGCCCCGGCTTTCTATATAACCGTTTGCCTCGGTCGCAGCGCTCAAGTTTCATTTCCTCCTTTCTTCTTAAATCGCCCCTTGTCTCTCTTCCCTACATTGTCTTCATTAGACATTTACAGCGAGCGAGGATGAGTCCCAATACTACTGCCAGCTCCCAGTACCCACTGGTGAAGCTTCCTCATCCCTTCTTGACCGCATACCGCGTGCGCACCGTTGCCGAAGCCGAAACGTCACCAGCCAAACTCAGCTTGACTTTTCATGATCAGCCCCCAGCCGGCCGATCCCCCCCTCAGCCTCTACACCTCGACTCTCTTTCGTGGCTTGAATTAGCACCCCCTTCCCCGAAGACTTGTCCTCCCCCTTCAAACAACACAGCCTGGGCACGAGCCCGTCGCGCACCCAAAACCACATTCCAATGGACTGACACCACACCGACATTGGGGCAGATTTGGAACGTTGTCCATGCTATATACCTTGCCCATCCAACCCATGAATATTTCAGCCTGGCCCTGTCCGGCGCAGGCCAGGATGTCCTTCGCACTGAGCTCCTCGCGACCGGACTTGGAATTGAGCATCCTAAGGCCACACGGCCTGATGACCGCGCAGTCCAGCCTTCTACCGACCTATTGATCCTCCGCAGTTCTTTCTGGCAAGGCGCCGCGTCGCCAATGGGCCCGCGTCCCATCTGGGTGGTGGGCGACGGCACCGATGGCTCTCTGCGAGAGCCTTTATCGCAATACCCACCCATGCCGGAGAACTATCACTTCACGCAGAAGTTTCCCGAGGAGCCTATTTATGCCAGACACCCGATCCGGCGGCCCAAGCCAGCTCCTGGCTCGATTGCCTACAGCCGCTATATCCCTGAATTGGATGAGCACTTCTCTCTGGAAGTTGTAGATTGGCAGGATCCAAGCCATTTGCAGCTCTTTAATACCTGGCAGAATGATCCCCGTGTGGCAAAGGGATGGAATGAGACAGGCACACTGGATGAACACCGCGAGTACCTCCGGAAGTTGCACGTTGATCCGCATGTACTTTGCTTGTTTGGGCGCTTCAATGAGACAAGGTTCTCGTACTACGAGCTTTATTGGTCTAAGGTATGCTATTGTCCCCTGATTGTCTCATGGTCGTGTTTTTGACAGCTGCTAACACTGGGATAGGAGGACCATTATGGTGCGCATTATGACGCCCATGACTACGATCGCGGAAGGCATTCGTTGGTGGGCGATGCGTCCTTCCGTGGCGCGAAGCGAGTCAACGCGTGGTATTCGAGTTGCATCCACTACTGCTTCCTGGATGAGCCAAGGACGGTGAACGTGGTGGGTGAGCCACGCGCAACAGGGGCAACGATTCTGTCGTATGAGAATGCGCAGGGTCTGACGATCGGCAAGTACGTCGACCTGGGCCACAAACGGTCAGTTCATTCCATCTGCAGCCGCGAGAAGTGGTTCCAGCTGTGCCCGATATTCTGGGATGGGCGTGAGCGACCGTTGGAATCGGCCGACCGTGCGGCGTGGAATGCCAAGCTGTAAACTGCTTGGTCTGCATCAACGAGAAATGAAAATACGTACTGGCCGGACATGTCCCGGAGACTAGTCCTCCAGTGGAAGCGAGGGCCCCACCGCTGCACTATCTAACCCTAGATAGCAATCTTTCAATACCATACTGTACATTATTCATTTGCTCTGGTCTCCACTTCAATACCGGTCACTTTTCCGCCGTATCCGGCCGCATCGCTGTCGACCACACCACCCCGGAGGAAATATTGGAGTCACCCTGCAAGCTGGCCAACACCCACAATACCATAATAGCACTGCTCGAGAGACCTTGAATAGATGTATGGACTAAACGGCAACCAGTCGTCAGATTGACTGAAGGGGCACTTGTGGGTTGTGTGGGTGTTCGTGTGCAAGCCTAGCTAAATATATCTTTAGAGTCGACGAATGCGCGTTGAACGTAGTACTAGTAATGTCTTTCACAGAGTCTGAGCATTCTAAGGTGTTTGCGTGAGTGCCTGGCTTGTATCTTGATATCTCTATTACTATCTACCATCATAACTATATACATCAACGTAGACATCCGATGTGGATAAAGGTTTCCTGCGCATAACCCACTCAAACCATCAGTTTAATTTCCCCCGTAGTGCGGATAGACGTAAGGTGAGGCAAGCAACAGAACTGTTGCTACCAGGCCATATTTCACCCAGTCCCGTCTAGCCCGCAGGCCGGTCGAGTCCTGCGCAGAATATCTATACCCAGTCTCAAGCTGATTGGCAGCATTCCATGTCTCGTGGATCTGCTGTTTCTCCGACAAAGCACAAGGCTCATCGGGCGTACCACTTTCAGAAGGTCAGAAAATCCCAACACACATCATCGTACACGAAGAAAGAAGAAAAAAGGTGTATTACTCGTTAACCACTGTCTTCAAATGTCCCATGACCTTTTCCACAAGGAATCGTCTTGGCTCTGCCTGATCATCGTTACTGAGGGCATGCGACGCGTTCGGAATGACGGCAGTGTGCTCATCATCCCAGATCTCTTCGCCCTCCGCACATCCAGCATTTGCGATTCCCCGCCATTTCCTCAACAATGCCT